AAAAAATTGCTCTCCCTTTTTCATCATCCTCTTTCTCAACCCCAGCCATTCAAGTACACCTGTGGTGGAGGCTGGGTCCTTGAATAATTTGTAGAAAACTTTCCATATCTGGGTTGCTTAGACTCTGCTGTCAGACTCCTGAACACAAAACGGAGTCCAGACCTGAGTAATCAAGCACAGAGCAGTGTAGTTACATGTGACCGAAAGTTGAATCTGCACTAAGATGCCTGGTTCTTTGCCTTTTGCATGGGCTACACATAGTACCTGTGAATTTCAGTGATGGAGACTGAGACAACTTTCCTTGAGCCATTACATCATTAGATAGAATTTAGTTCATCAAAGTGTTTCCCTGACTACAAAGTATCTCCTTTGCAAAATTTGAAAAAGTTGACATGTTAGAAGAGGTACAAAAGAATTTTGAATGAGAACACGAGTTGATCAGGCAGATGGCAAATGCTTTTCCTTTTCAAATGAATTCTTACTGAGAAGCTTAAATCATAAGCACTGTATATTGGTTAAAAAAATTGATGGTGGTGGTTATGTGCCGTGGAGTCAGAACCGACTCATAGGGACCCTGTACAGGGTTTCTGAGGCTGTAAATCTTTATGGGAGCAGAAAGCCTCTTCTTTCTCCTGTGGAACAACTGGTAGTTTCAAACTGCTGACCTTAAGGTTCACAGCCTGATTCATAACCACTACACTACCAGAGCTCCTTTAATGATATCTAGTTCGAACCACAGGTCAGCAGTTCAAACACACAAGCTGCTCCTCAGAAACCCTGTCGCTAAGAGTTGGATCTGACTTAGCCACAAAACAAAACAAACCTGTCTCCCACCCCTTACCCTTACATGCTCCCATAAATACTAGAGCAATTAAACTTTTGCTATGTGCAAATGATCCCACAGCTTGGTTTAAATAATAATATAATTTAGTAGTTGCATACCGGGCTCAGCAGATCTTAAACTACCAGCCGTTCCACAGCAGAAAGGTGAGACTGCTCTACAGTCTCAGAAACACTGTGCACGAGTGCTATGAGTAGGAATGGACTCCACGGTACACCACAGCCACCACCATGGGTCACTATGAGTCAGTACCGATACAGTGGACCTAACAACAACACCAATGGTTTGACTGGTTGTTTCTTCTGGTGTGGATTCGCTTACCTGTCTAATTGTTGGTAGAATGTTGAGTCTAGAATGACCTTGTCTGGGATTGCTGGTGTCAGCCCCATGGGGTTCTCATCCTCCAGTAAGCTAGGTTGGACTTCTTCTCTCATAGTCTCAGATTCCACAGAGTAGTAAGAGGGTATCCCTGTATCCTAATGCTTTGTGTGCTTTTGTTTGCATCATGTTTGCTAATATACCATTGGCTAAAGCAAGCCGGTGGAAGCAGTCGCTGGAGAAGGATGTCATGCTGGGTAGGGTGGAGGGTCAGAGAAAAAGAGGAAGACCCCCAACGAGATGGATCAGCCAGGTGGCATAATTGATGGACTCAGGTGTGGCAGCCGTAGTGAGGTTGGCCCAGGATCGAACATTGTTTCGTTCTACTGTGCATGGGGTCGCTATGAGTCGGTTTCGACTCGATGGCACCTGACAACAACAACAAAGCAAGTCGTATGATCAAGCCCAGTTTTAAAGGGTGAGACAATTGATATAAGCTCTTGGTGGGATAAGATGAGCAGTAAAGTCTAACTGCAAAGATGTGACAAGAATGGGAGGAATTTGCCACAATTTTGTCATCTTTCACAGATATTAGAGAGTTAATGCTTATGTGATGCTGTTGGATAAGCATTTCAATGAGCATTTCATTGAAATGCGTATCCATCCCAGCAACCAATCCTTGGAAACCCCATTCAGGGTCAGGAATCAACTTGTCAGCACTTAAAAACAACATTGATTTAAACTGACTTGAATATCTCCACCACACTGAATCAAGGAGTAGAAAGATTTTACAGCTTCAATTTGATATGGAATCGTTCAGTGGACCATAATTATATTCTCTCCCATTGACATTTGGCCATGTTTACTGGTAGTGTCTTATCTTGAATTCTTGAATTGTGCTTCCCTTTTCTGCTCTTGTGTTTTCATTTTATTCAATTAATTGTTATGGTGCAAACATAATTTTTCTTTGAATACAGTTTGGATTTGGTATAGTTTGTGGATACTTGCCCATGCAAAAATGTTTCATTCTTCAACCAGTATGGTAAACTCTGTCTTGAGATTCCTGTTCAGGTCTTTTGGAGGTACACTCTCATGCTATCTTTCAGAATTCATACCCTTTGTGATCTGGTAAACTGAAATCTACTTCACTGATCTTTTTATTTTTGTACTTATTTGTTGCTGTTGGGTGCCAGTAGGGACTGACTCATAGAGACCCTATGCACAACAGAATGAAACACTGCTCAGTCCCGGGTTAACCTCACTACTATTGCCATGCTTAAGCCCATTGTTGCTGCCAATTTGCCAATCCATCTTGCTGGGGGTCTTCCTCTTTTTCTCTGACCCTTCACTTCACCAAACATGATATTCCTCTCCAGCATCTGGGCCCTCCTGACCATATGTCTGAAGTATGAGAGACAAAGGCCATCCTGGCCTCCAAGAAGCACTCTGACTGCACTTCTTCCAACACAGATCTGTTGGTGCTTTTGGCAGCCTATGGTACTTTCAATATTTGCCGCCAACACCATAACTCAAAAGCATCAATTCTTCTGAGGTCTTCCTTATTCACTGTCCAACTTTCACATGCATATGACTTTATTGAAAACACCATGGCTTGGGTCAGGCACACCTCAGTCCTCAAGCTGACATCTTTGCTCTTCAACACTTTAAAAAGGTCTTATGTAGAAGATTTGTCTCATGCAATACGTCGTTTGATTTCTTGACTGCTGCTTCTATGAGTGTTGATGGTTGATCCAAGAAACATGAAGTCTTTGACAACTTCAATCTTTTCTCCATTGATAAGAATGTTTTTTATTGGTCCAGTGGTGAGGATTTTTGTTTTCTTTACATTGAGATGCAATCCATACCAAAGTCGATGGTCTTTGATCTTCATCAGTAAGTATTTTAAATCCTCTTCACTTTCAGCAAGCAAGGTTGTATCATCTGCATATAGCAGGTTGTTTATGAGTCTTCCTTCAATGCTGATGCCATGTTTTTCTTCATATAACCAAGCTTTGCAGATTATTTGTTCAGCATACAGGTTGAATAAGTATGGTGAAAGAATACAACCCTGTCGCACATCTTTCCTAATTTTAAACCATTCAGTGTTCTGTCTGAATAGCTGCCTCTTGGTCTATGTACAGGTCCCTCATGAGCACAATTAAGTGTTCTGGAATACTTATTCTTTGCAATATTGTCTGTAGCTTGTCATGATCCACACAATTGAAGCCCTTTGCGTAGTCAGTATTGTATTAAATTCCTTATCGTTTTATTAGTGTATAAATATGGTGTTGTTAAGTACTGTGGAGGCGGTTCCAATCCATAGTGACCCTGCACAGGGTTTCCAGGGCTGCAAATCTTTACGGGAGTAGAAACCCTCATATTTCTCCCATGGAACAGCTAGTAGTTTCGAACTGCTGACCTTGAGATTAGCAGCCTGATTCGTAACCACTATGCTGCCAAAACTCTTTAGTCTATACACACAGCACAGTGCTTAAGGATGTCTATCTTCTGAATTTTGTTGTAACTCCAGATATTAAGTTATAATCATGATTAACTCATAGAGCTTCCAGCCCAGACTCCCTCAACCATGGCTTTGGCATTATTGACATTTTGGGCTAGATAATCCTTTCTGTGATGCTGTAGGATCAGCGCTGGATTGTAAACCACAAAGTCGGCAGTTCAAACCCACATGTGCTCTTGGGAACCCTATACGGGGCCACTATGAGTCAGACCTGAATTGATGACAACAGTAGCAAATCCTTTATCATGGGGGCCGTGTCCTGACTAGTATAGGAATTTTGCATCGTCCCTGACCTCTATGCAGTCGATGTCAACAGCACCTTCCCCTAAATTCCCCTCAGCGATGACAACCAAAATGTCTCCAGACATGGTACTCTTCAAGTGTCCTGTTTGATAACTACTACAAAGGAGCTCTGGTAGTGTAGTGGTTACGAATCAGGCTGTGAACCTCAAGGTCAGCAGTTCGAAACTACCAGCTGTTCCGCAGGAGAAAGATCAGGCTTTCTGCTCCCGTAAAGATTTATAGCCTTGGAAACCCTGTACAGGGTCGCTATGAGTCGGAACCGACTCCACGGCACATCACAACAACAACAATAAAGGAAAGTACTTAAAAACTGTAATTATAATGTTGTGGTACAATTTGATTTCCTAGAAAGGACAATAATGGTAATTTTTGCTGAGTTATATCAGACAGTTAAGGGAAAGGCTGGGTTGGGATGAAGATTAAAAGAGGCATTTGTGGACATGAAACCTCAGAAGAAAATGAAGGTAGGAGACATTACATCTTGGAGCTTTCCTCTGCGCCCCCCCCCTTCTCTTGATAGGAATGTCCTGGCCTCTGTGATAAGACACTAGAAACTGGGATCCTTAGAAAGGGCAAAAGACTGGCAGAGAACAGCTCCATACTCTAGACAAAAGGGAAGAACACAGTAAACGCAATCACAAGAAGCTATTGGAATAGTCAGTCAATGATGGATTATTCTCCGATGACTTTTAATGACTTTTTAGCTGATCACAGCCTCCTTGTAATAAAACAAAACAGAGGAAAGTCTTGGCGTTGCTTTTTCAGAGTGTGCTAGGATGATGGTGGTGCTCCCGTTATAATGTATTCTGAGAAGTTTCTTTCTTTGGATTTAGATTTCCTCACTTGATTTTATTATGTCATAAATCTCCCATATTTGGTGAGAGTCATGGTGTATGTGAGACCTAAGCAGCTTGCTAGATAACATCTATTTCCCCTCTTCTTTTTAGAAGATTAAACTGAGACTGTTGTGTCTGATGCCGGAACAGATTTAACCAATCATGTTTCCTTTACATGTAGGTCAGTCCGAGGGACAATTCCGCACTGGATCCTATTATCCATGGGTTGAAGGGTGTCGTCCATCATGGTAAGTAAGCCACATGTACTTTGTTTTCTGGGATGTAAAAGGTGAGGATCGTAACCCAAAGAGGTGGGGTGATCCTGAGGAGGACAGAGGATGACACTCATTCCTCATCCACTGATGTCTAAGAGCGTGACAGCCATTATTTGATGGGTAAAGAGCCGGTCCATTTGTCACCTGCAAATGGATCTGGGTTAACAGGAAGCAATTTGTTCCTTTTCAGGTACCCCTTTGAATGCATGTGTTATAAATCAAAACACTCTGTGATGTAGCATTCATATGCGTAGCAGATGCCTAGAAGCTGCCATTTGTTGCCTCATATCCACCCTAAAAATATTCTTCTTTCTAAGTTTCTTTTCATTTATAAATTCATTGATTTGCCTCTCAGATTTAGGGAGCAGCTAATAAAAAAATAATAAAAACTTACGTAGCTGTGACAGTTCATTAAACTTGGCAGCATGTGAACAAGAATTATCAGCTACTGGGATGGAGAAGACTTCGTGCAGTGTTTCTGCGCGCTAGGCTTCCTATCCTCAGGCATAAAACTGGGCGAGAAAGCAAGATAAATGGGTCCTGTCTTTTCCAACTGGTTTTTATTGGAGGAATTTCCCTGCAAGTTTATTATCGACAATGCATCATTACCTATGACATCAGGATCCTCTACACTTCAAAAAAGTACACTTGCCGCAGTGAGCCCTGGTGCCTGGGTGTGATATAATGATTTTAATGATTTAATTAGAATTCCAGCAATAGACAGAGTATTGGGAATCATCATGAATCTCCCCTTCATTTCTACCACTGTGGAAAAATGTCTTCACACCTTGTTTTCTGGAGGGTTGTCTTTAGACCTTAGCCAACTCTGTAGAGCTTAGCAAACACTCCCCCACCTCAGTCCCTCTCATTCCCACAGAAGGGAAAGGTAGTTGTCATTATTTGATAAGAGCAAATTGTTATTGTTGTTAAGTGTCATGGCATCAGTTCTGACTCATAGTGAACCAGTGTCGGGTTTCTGAGGAGCAGCTGGTAAGTTCTGAATCATCAACCTTGTGGTTAACAGTTCACTGCAACCCTACGGCAGCACACCAGGATTCCAAAAAGCAAATTGGAGCTTGAATGAATTCTTCTGCAGTCACCGTTGTTAAGTACAGCAGGTAACAATAATACACTTAGTAACCCTAGGCATATAGGGTGACTAATAGCACCCCAGAGAGATTTGCATTTTGGGAAGTTTCCATTGCATCTTCCCAGTTTTCAATGTTCCCAATTTTCTGTGTTCCCAGTGAAGAAAACCCTCACATTGACCTTGAGAGTAGATTGTATATAACAAAAGTGGAAGTTTGGCATGAAGGTTCGGTTAGGGATCAAAACACTCTTGTCAGAAATGATTTTAACTGCCTATTCCTTTTTAATGGTAGTGGTGGTGGTTTGGGGGATGGGGAGTTTTGCACATATACCCTGGGCAACCTCTGAAGTACAATGAAAGCTGCGGTTGTGGACAGCACATAGCGTGCACTGTGACAGAGCTCTGCTCCTGGAAGATCTCCCTGAACGCCAGTTGAGTAAATTTAACCCATCGTAAAGAATATGGTTTTAGAGTTTTAACTGTAGTCAATAATGAATATATCTTACTTACCCTAACTCTCCTTCTCTTTTACCAAATACTTTGCCTTTTTGAAAACAAGCACAGCACGAAGAATTCTAAACTCTTCCAAATAGAAGAGTTTATTTTATAGCAGGAGAGCATTACTAGCCACAACATTTAAGTAGGATTTTAAGATCTACAATGATAATTGGAGGAGATTCCATATGGTAAGATAAGCAGCTGTTGTTCAGTGACATCGAGTCGGTACTGACTCATAGCGACCCTGTTGTTGTTGTTGTTGTTGTTGTTGTGAAATGCTGTTGAGTTGATTCCATAGCGACCCTGTATAGGGTTTCCAAGAAGCAGCTGGTGAGCTTGAACCGCCACCTTGCTGTTCAAATAGCTTTGCAGTCTGGTGCATTAAACCACAGTGCCCACTAGGATTCTTATGCACAAAAGAATGAAACACTGCATGGTCCTACCTCACAATTGTTGCTGCATTTGTGCCCATTGCTGCTGCCACTGTGCCGATCCATTTCATTGGGTGTCTCTCTCTTTTTCTCCGACCCTCCACTTTACCAAATATGATATCCTTCTCCAGGCACTTGGTCATCCTGACTTCCAGGGAACCTTCTGGCTGTGTTACTTCGAGATTGGTTTGTTCTTCTGGAAGTCCATAGTACTATGGATTGCCAAGATAAGCAGTGTTGTTATGTTGTTAAGTGCTGTAGAGTCAGTTCTGACCCAAAACAACACTGTTTAGAGTTTCCAAGGTGCAGTTGGTGAGATTGAACCATCAACCTTGCAGGTCAAATGACTTTGCAGTCTCGCTCATTAACCCACAGCACCACCCCAGAACTCCGCTCTTTATCATCTTGATCCCCAATTCTGAGGAAACTCAGTGTGTAGCATCATTTGGTTCATGACCTATGTGATGGCATTTTCCCTGTAGAAACCTGTTACATTGGAGATACTTTACCTGGCATTGGGAGGGTTCCAAAGATGCCCAGGATGTGGATTCAACCACACTGTCTTATTGGGAAGTCAGACAAGACCCACAAAAATTAGTTATCAACCAAAGAAGTCTACTTATTTATTCAGCAAAAATACATTGTGCTCATAGGCTCAGACCAGCCCACCTATACCTGACAGAGCAATGAAGCGACCACCCTCGAATTCTTCAGGTTGCCCAGTGTGTGTGACTCCAGTCATTGTGGTTCACTGTCAGGAAAGATCTTCCCTCACTCTAGGCAACACTGTGTCCCTCTCAGGCTTTCAGGTCTCAATTCAGCATTTTCTTCTACCAATATGAAAGAGAAATGATTAGGGCTGGATCTTGGAGAGGTGCTTGTGCTCAGTTTTCGGGCTGTTGCTGTTTTTTGTTTTGATAACCCTCAGCGCTTCTATTGTTCTTCCAAGAGAGAATGGATGTGTGAAATAGCAAAATAAGGAAAGAGAGAGAGAGAAAAAAAAAAAAAAGCGTTGGTTGGTACTAGAAACATTTTTACTTGAAGGACTTGGAAGGGATTTGAATGAGCTGTTAATTTAATGAAACATAAATGATTGTGCCCTTCACAGGGTCTCTAGTTTGAGAATGATGATGGAAATGTACAAAGGGAAAAATCAATATGGAGTTTCTGAAGTTCAGAATTGAGTATGAGTTCTGTGGCTCTGGGAATCATATTATAAATGTTAATTTTTCATTAAGTAAGTGTTTTGTTTTTGTTGTTTTTTTTTTTAAAGGAAGGCTCTAACATGTTTCTTCAGCTGAAACGCCAACAAGTCATCTGTTTGTACTGGCCAACTGTAACTGGCAGTTGGTCATTTAGACTCTCTGAGAGGCAGATGCCAGAATAGAGTTATCAGCAGTTGTTGTTGTTGTGAAGTGCTGTCGAGTGAGTTCTGACCCATAATGACCCTGTATAGGGTTTCCAAAGAGTGGCTGGTAAGCTTGGACCACTGACCTTGCTGTTCAAATGGACTTTGCAGTCCAGCGCTTTAACCCACAGCGACGCACCAGGACTCCAGACTTTATCAGTGTGAGAGTAGTTTTGGAGTGAGGGACCATCTGTAAAGGGTAAAGAGGAGAAGGAACAGGAGTGGGCACAGGGGTGTTGGGGCATTAATGTAAGTCTAACATACGTGAAAGGAGACAAGGACGATAGAAGGGCTGACTGCAGGCAGCTCTGAGAAATCTAGGCCAAGGTGTAGATTTGAACCCCCTCATGTTTTTAAAAAATACATATTTGATTATGTTTTTGGTGAAACAAGTTCCCATTCAACAATTTCTGCACACACTCATAATGTTCTGTGTCACTGGTTAAAATTCTTCAGTTTACACACCCACATTCTGGTTATTTCCTTTCTATTTAGATCCACTCCCATTCATTTGGTCTCACTGACCACCCTGTTCCTACCTCATGTTTCCTTTAGAGGATCTGTTGTCCTGTTGTGCGTTGGGAATCATGGGTAATTTTTAAAAGAGCACAGTTCTCAAGGGTAAAATAAAATTATGGACTTCTTGAACTCACTTGCTATTCAGTTGAAGGATGAGTTCAGAGGATATTTGCTGTTGAAGGTGTAAAGTATCTCAGGGATTCCTCCAGTTTCAGTGAATATGGTGATGGTGAAGTTGGCAATGATTGTGAAGTTGGCCCAGGATCAGGCAGTGTTTTGTTCTGCTGTGCATAAGGTCGCTATGAGTAGGTTCTGACTCAATGGCACCTAACAACAACAGTAAGTCTAGTCTTTGGAGATTTTGAAGTTTTGTTCTAATTTCTGCTGCTCCCTCATACACATTCCCTCCCCATCCCCATCTGTCAGGAACTGTCTGTTATACCCCAACCAGAACATTCGATAATGGCATCTGGGTACCATCTAGTTCCTCTGTTATCAAGGTCTGAGCGTACCACAATGCTGTCTAGAGTAGAGAACAAAATTAACCTGAGCTTGTCCATACGGAGTTCCATGCTGATGAGAGAGACAAATTCAAAATGTTATTAATGAAGCAGATGGGGAATGACAAATCAACTCCAATTGGGGAGTTTGGAGAAAGCTTCTTATAGACAGTGACGAGTTAAGACCTAAAGCGTGAATAGAGATTACGCAGGCAGAGGAAGAGTAAGGAACAGTGGTCATGCAGGTGACTGGTGATCACCAGTGTTTTGTCCCACAACACCACACCAGGACTCATAAGCAATAGATGAAAGCACCAAAATGCATTTAATTGAATATTGTATTTATGCTACTGTTAGCATTTACTGGAAGAATAAGAGTTAAATTAATTCTGTTCAACATTGTGAATTCTGTTCATGCATTCACTTGATCCTAAGTCCTTCCTGAGTATAAGGCCAGCGCTCAAAGATAGCCAGGCATGATAGAAATATTGGCCTTCTTATTTAAATAGCCAATTTTATAAACAACC